ATACCAGAAGGCATTGAACTAGCTATTTTCTTTAGTGGCTCTGGAAGCTTTTGTTCGAGCTTCCCTCGTCTAAACCAAGGGATAGCTAGTGTAAAAGCAATTGCCATCAAGAAAACCATTATGAGTCCTGTATTCCTCTGTGACTTCACGAAATGCAAGTATCTCTTTGGTTGCTCTTCTCCAAAGAATTTTCGTAGAGGCATGTATTCCTCTGGAGTTGCCGCAATTAGCCGTGGAAAATCGCACGCCAAGTGGGTCACCGAGTGTATGGCTACTCCTATCATGATTCCCACCGCTATAACCTGTAGGTTTGGCCATCAATTTTGCTATATATCATAATAAGAATGAGAGATATTTTTGCAATTTTATTAAAAAAGAGTGTTTTCTTATAACTAGGTAAGGACAGTTCAGAGTAATTTTAAAGCACGTACAAACTATGTTTCTTTCCATTTAAAACGTTTATATCTACCATAGATGGTTGAAATAAACAAAATCAAATGTGGTTTTACCTGATGAAAGTTGAGGTTGTCATCAAAAGGGACAATAACACCCAAACTAGTTTTAGTTCTAAGCCATGTAATGGTATTTCTGCATACAGGTAACAGAATCAAGGCCATGTTCAGCTTCAGTGTCTCAGCTGCACCTTTAGCCAAGCACACACAATGCCCCAACACTTCATACACTTCTCTATTCTTGTATTGAATATATTTGTATATGAAGAGGATGGCCATAATCATGAGCCATAGCACTATTACCCAAATTCTTTGCCAGTTATCCAGTACGAAGAATCTAAGTTTATGGTACCATCTCTTCAACGGGTTAGGGTCAAGTGTAGGCTTAAGCTTGTTACTTATCATGTCGCCCAACTTCTTTCTTTCTTCACTGTTTGTGCTGATGGAATGTGTTTCAGCTTCCAGAAGCAAGGATTTAAGACTACCCATCTGTTTTAAATTCACCACAAAGTTACAAACACAAGTAGTAATCGAAAAATTATCGATCCTCGCGCTTATCTTCAAGAAAACTTACCATGATGTATCCAATATTATCTTTGTCAAGCACTTTCATTATCATTGCTGCATATCCATCTGCATTTGTCTTTATGGTTGAAAGA